GGAACCTAACAGGACCTGTTGTAAAACAACATGGAACCTAACAGGACTTGTTGTAAGACAGCATGGAACCTAACAGGAGCCGTTATATGACAGCATGGAACCTAACAGGATCTGCTTAGACAACATTATAAAACAGCATGGAACCTAACAGGACCTGTTGTCAAACAGCATGGAACCTAACAGGACCTGCTTAGACAACATTATAAAACAGCATGGAACCTAACAGGACCTGTTGTCAAACAGCATGGAACCTAACAGGATCTGTTGTCAAACAGCATGGAACCTAACGGGACCTGTTGTCAAACAGCGTGGAACCTAACAGGATCTGTTGTAAGACAGCATGGAACCTAACAGGACCTGTTGTCAAACAGCATGGAACCTAACAGGATCTGTTGTCAAACAGCATGGAACCTAACAGGACCTGTTGTCAAACAGCATGGAACCTAACAGGACCTGTTGTCAAACAGCATGGAACCTAACAGGACCTGTTGTCAAACAGCATGGAACCTAACAGGACCTGTTGTCAAACAGCATGGAACCTAACAGGATCTGCTTAGACAGCATGGAACCTAACAGGACCTGCTGTAAGGCAGCATGGAACCTAAGAGGACCTGTTATAAGATAGAATGGAACCTAACAGGACAATACGTAAATTAAATTAAATTTTAATGTCCAAGGGCAAAAACAATAGGTAGAAACAAACATAGGATTTTATTTTTTATATAATAGTCAAGTCAAGTTTCTTTATTGTCATTCCACCACATGTGGTACATGTGGTGGAATGAGATTGTGTACTCAGGGTCCCAGTTTCATCCAACAAAAGTATAAATTGTAAAGAAAACCAGTAACAGATCTAAGATATGAAATAAGAAATATGCTAAACTAAGAATACACTAAACACTAATAGTACAAAAACAATATGCTAAACAACAGCAGCACGAATATAATAATATAAAATAATACAAACAATATATTTATATATTTTATTTTCTTCTTTCGGCTGCTCCTTCTTCAGGGGTCGCCACAGCGAATGATGTCGCACAAACTCTTGGCAATTATTTTTACACCAGATGTTCTTCCTGACACAACCACCGACCAATGAGCTACCACAGCCCTCTGTGTGGAGCAGAGAGCTACATCTAGGGTGCCTGGTGCGGTGGATTGGGTTAAGGGCCTTGCTCAAGGGCCCATGGTGGGGCAAATGAGGCTGGAGGCAGGTGTGTGTGTTTCACCAATCCCACCCACATTTTGATGTTGTCAGTACGGGGAGTTGAACCAGCAATCTTCCGAACACAGGCCCACCTCTCTAACCTTTGCGCCACCACTCCCTATAAGATAGAAATAATTAATGTTTCTCACTTAATGTTTAATAAATTCAGTCATATTTTTTGACTAGTTTGCATATTAATGACATAAATTTAATTAAAAAAACACTAAAATTATTATTAGTAAAATATTCGGTTTAATATTTAAATGAAATTAACTTCTTTAAATTCTTTAACATTAATCTGTGTTCTAGAATAAACCGTATTCATATTATTGGACTCATGTTGAATAAACCGGGTTTAGATTATTTGAACATCAGCTCTCGGGACTTCCTGCGGGACTCGCCCCGCCTCTCGGCCGCGGCTCCGCCCCGCCTCTCGGCCGCGGCTCCGCCCCTCAGCAGAGGCCTTCTGCGGGTCACACAGCAGCGTCATGGCGGCGGGGCGAGCGTTAGCTTCGCGACCAGCCGTCTGAGAAAGCCCGGTAATCCGGCAGGATGAACCTGTGCGCTCAGTACCTGCGGTGAGTTGGGTTTCTTGTCCCGTGTCGGTGCTCGTGGGGGTCCAGGTGCGGGCTGGGGTCTTGTTTACCTGCCGCAGGTGTGTTGTTGTGCTCGGCTGTTAGCGGGAAGCTAACGGGACCACCCCCTTAGCTTCTATTAGCATGGCTAGCTTGTGTTAGCTTCAGATATCAACAAACCGGAGAATCAGCGAGCTGCTAGCTGACACATCCCGTCAGACAGGATTAATGTTTAATAAAAGTCTCTTTAGTTACACTTTAGTCAAGTTTGGTTCTAGATTGTTTCATTTTCACAGTTTCATTGTGTTTTTATTTGTTAGCTTTAGCGTCTCTACGACTGTCAGGTTAGCATCCGTGCTGTCACACGCTCGTCGTTAGTTCCTGAGCACGAGCCTGCTTCAGGTGTGATCCCAGGTAAATGTTGGTGTGTTTGAGTCCTGTCCTCAGTGTACGAGGTGTTTTATAACAGCGTGGAGTCGGAAATGAAGCTTTATTTCTGTGGTTGGGTTTTGAATCCAGGAAGTAGTCTGAGCCCTGCATGTTGACATGTGATGCGCTGAGCTGTTAAATGTTAATGAGGTCAGGATGGGCAGGTATGAGGAAGAGCTGCATGCTTTGTGTTGTCAGGTATGCGTGTGCGCGTGCCCTCGTCTAACCACCTGTCCTCTGTTTACACCCGAGCAGCCAAGCAGAGGCCCTGAAGGCTGACATGACAGGTAGGTCACACTCACACACACACCTTGAACATTAGAGTTTTGAAAAGTATCAACTGAGACATGTACCAGATTAATTGCTGGTTTAATGACCAATCATCATATTTCAGCCACGTTTGCTATGTCAGCTGTTTGGACACGTTTCAGCTGCGTTGACACGTTTCAGCTGTTTGGACACA